GTGGTCAATTATAACTAAACTTGAATGCAATCAAGCATTAACAAATATTTTATGAGGAAAATCACAATTGCAATCAAATTTTTATTAGTGTGCTAGTATACATATAGAAATACTCTAAACAAAACTGCTGTTATGGAGCATGCAATAAAGGACACTGTTAGAAGTGATAAAAATGTTGTCATTATTTACATTATTTATCAGTCTGTATATAATATGAGTGCTACCTTGCAGACAAATGTAAGTTTATACTTAAATTTACTGTTAAAACGAGCATTATATTTAAACATAACAGCAAACTGTTGTCAGAGTTACCGTAGAATGTGATTGAGAGAAAATACAGGAACTAATTTGATGAATGTAATTAATGATATTTGACTAATGTGACAAATGACATTGCCTCCCACAACACTCATTCTCAAAGGCATCATTGTACAATGCTCATTTTTTCTGTGATTGCTGTTTTGAGTCTCTTTGCAAATGTTTAGTGAGTGCATGCGCTGTCCTTTCGTTCAATGGGCAATACTGGAGGTCAATTATCCTTTACTTCTGTAAAGACCTGCGTAGTTGATGCTTGAAATCAATGTGCCTATGGCTGGGATTGATCTAACTGATCTCTGTCATTTGTATACAACCTTTATTGTCTTCAATAATTGGTATGGGATTTAACAAACCCAGTTTTCTAGAATTAGATGATGTTTCAAGGTTACTTGGCAATTCGCTAGTGCTACTATCTAATACCTCTGTAGAAGAATAGGCTACAGTTGCTTGCCTTCAACTCAACTAGCTGATCGTTACTTCTCCATGTTGAAGAATGCAACCACTTGTAGATTTGCAAAATATAGTGTCCCAAATGCAACCCTCATCTACAAATCTATTTAACTCTGGATTCATGGTTACTTGTAGTTGTAATTTATGGTTAATTGCTATTTATCGCATCACTTACAGAACATTTTCAACATGTTTTCCTTTCATTTCAATATCATGTTATTGAGTAATTTTTCCACGATTTTAGTTTGGTCATCATTCCTATTCTGCTCTAAAAAGATTATTATGAAGTTATCAAATATCAATGTGAACTGGAGCTGTCAATCACAACTATTAGATAGACAGAGAGACAGATAAATATATATATATATATATATATATATATACACTGTATGTGTATATATATATTTAGATATATATATATATATATATATATATATATATATATATATTTATTTATATAGTATATTCTATAAATTACTTCTTCACTGTTTTATACACCAGTGAGGTCTTTCACATTGTTTGTGAATGACGTAGAGGCTTGAGTGCATACAAAGTCACTTTTCTGATCCCTCAGAATCCTCAAACCACCTGCACCCTTTAAAAAAATAAATAAAAGAAAAACTTCTATTGTACTATAGCAGATTACAAATCTTGGTATATAACTGCAGAATAATAAATCAGGTTTGCTAAAATACACAGACAGAGACTTTAAATAAAATGTTAATATTGTCGAATGCCCCATGGGTAAGTAACTGTGGGTGTCACATATATATATATCCAAATATAAAAACATTGGTTCAGAAATTGTAGGTATGGCTAGTACTATTAAATTTAGAGACCAACATAAGAAATAGGAAAACATTTAGTTTTTATACAGGAATATTTGCATTTTGTTTGGACCTATAACTATAAAAATATGATAAAATCCTAGGCATTTTCTTTAGCTTAATAAATTCCCTGCAAATTATGACATGGAACACAAATTATAAAGAGTATAAAATGAAAGCCCTACATGTCCTTTAAAATAAGTATATGATATTTAATAAGGGGAAAATTAAAGAAAGCGCACAAAAAAATAATAAAACATGTTCTTTAAGGTAGAAAACAACCATTGTCATGAAGTGGTTAATCATCTTTTTTTTTTACCAGCAGATTTATCCAGGTTTACTCATGGCTATCCCTTGTTTGCCATTTTGTTGGTATATAGTCGGTAGGTAAATATCAATTCTGTTCACTACATCCTTAGAAAGTAGTATTTCTTGCTCCAACATTCCTACCTGATTGTTCCCATTATTCAGGTTGACCACTGCAGATTTCAGATATTCACTAATCCAACTAATCCAACTAATCCAACTAATCCAACTAGTTTTAGAGTCACTAATATCCTAATCCAAATGATTTTGCAACAAATTATAGAAATTGGAGTGAAAATAGAATGGAAAAATCTATTTCGAACATGTCTGTTGGCATGTGTTGATTAAGTCTACTGATCCCAAACAGAAGACTTCACAAACTTGTGTATTCCACAACAGGGAGGTCAGAAAAATGACTGAAGTTTTTTTCTGTTTTGTACCAATCTTGGGGTTCCGTGAATGCCGTTAGGACAGAAGTTTTAATATTAGCATTATTCAGATTTACATTAATTTAGCCGTTCAGCCTGATTCTTGACATAATTTCGAAACCATCTGAATGATTCCTTTTTTTGCCCGCAGTTACCTGGTGCCATCCCAGGGTAAGCAATTAAACCATTTGTGAACAGTTTGGCAACTTACATTGAGCCCACTCCATTCCCCCTATATTGTATCACACATATACTACAGTTTTAATCCCCCCACATATTACAGCCCCTTTCCCCCATACACTACAGCCCTTATTACTACAACCCGTTTAGCCACTCTCCCCTGCACACACTACAACCCTTATTTCCCCACATACAGTCCCTCTCATCACATACACTGCAGACCATATATTTCTGCATAAGATAGCCTTCCTTCCCTCAGACTACAGTTCTATCCTCACTTATACTACAACATCTATCTCTCTCATACATTACAGACCATATCTCCCCCATAAGCCACAGTCCCTCTCCCCAACATACTGCAGTCCCTATCACTCCCATAAACTACAACCTATTTTGCCCACAATTTTGTTACAATTCCCTCACACTACAGCCACTACTAGATGTACACCACAGCCCATCTCCCGACACACTACAGCCTCTGCCCACCCACACAGTAGCCACTATACTTCCAGTCCCCCCACACACAGACACACTGCAACCCCTATCTATACAAACTACAACATCTCTAAACACACTACCCCACAAACAGCCTCATCCACCCACATTCAACCGTATATACACAACCACACAAGAAAATTCTTTCACACACAACTACAAGTAGTCTCACCCCACATGCAACACCACAACTTGTCTCCTTACACACACAAACAACACAAGCAGTTTACCCCACATGCAACACTAAAAACAGCCTGCCCCCACACATGCACAAAACCACATGCAGCCTCTCCACACACATACTCACACATACACCCCCTTTCCCCCACCCACTTGCCCCACACTTTGTCCCTCTTTTGCCCTCTGGTATTCCACTTATGGGGACACCATACACAAGTTCCCAGCTTACACATACTCATGCCAGAGCTCTATAGCAGGGCTCTGTGCATGGGCTGCCTTGTAGGGGCATCAAATAACACAACATGCATATTTACTGGCCCTGTCCCTGTCCCTGCCCCTTTGTGATGGGCTGCTCTGCCTCTAAATGTCCAGGCTGAATATGTATCCCAATTCATCCATGCATCATGATTATTTTGATGTTTTGTTTCCCATAATATATAGTAGCAATATTCAACCAATGTTTGTCATGTACTATACTCGGTTGGCAGAGTTCATTTGAACATGTTTAGATTGAAAACTTAGATACCAAGGAAACCATTATAAGAATTTTTTTTTTCAATTCATTATGGGATATATTTAACAAACAGTGAACCAAAACTATATTAGCAAACAATAAACTAAAATATCTGAAAATATATAACCCACTTGGCTACATTTCAGTCCATATCATTTCCAGTGTCCTTTACGGTACACCTCTACATACCCAAGCATGAAGAATAGCAGCACTCAATATTTTAATGGCTTTATAATGGTGCTTGGTTCATTGTGTCACTGTAAATATGCTATTTTTAGAGTCATTGTTTTATCATTTTTTTAGCAAGTCATTTATCAGATGATCACAATTCACTATTTAATGAACTGACCAAAGAAATAGTAACATTGATATATTATGAATATTATTGAATGTTCATTCAGGGACTATTACAAGGGTCTTAGCATGCCCGTCGTTGTCACTATTGATTACAAATGGCTTATTTCATAGAATCTTAGTTTTCATCAACACTAGGATTGTTGTTTTACAAATACTTTCCATGATGGAATGATTTGCAGGAAATCAGAAAATTTCATTGAGTTCACTCTATTGTGTACCAAAGTGACAGTAGTGCCTTTTTTTACTGTAGAATGCGCCATGATACTGCTATGGCAACAGGTAACAATAAACTCAATTCAAGGATTTATATTATGATATATTATTCAGAAAAATGCTTCACTGAATACACTTTAATATATGATTCCACTGTGTCGCATTCTATATCCTATTTGTATTTTCTAAAAATTATTATTGGTTCTTAATACCCACTTAAATTAAATTACATTATAGTTACAGCTGTGCATTAAATTTGTCCATAAATCCATTTCTAATTTTGAAAAAAAATTTTTTTTTGCTATAACACTATAATGCATGTAAATGACAAAATTAGGCCAGTATCCTGATCGTTTGTTAAAACATATATATTTTATTCCTATGCACCCATTTAGGCATTACCCTGCTTAATTGGGTATTTGTATTTTTAGGTGCTGTGAATTGTCAATTAGGATTGATCTAAAATCTGAGATACATTATATTAACACGAGACATTGCTCCAAGGCGTTTTCCGTCCTGCTGAACCCATGCCTGCCTTGTTAGCTTTATTCAGAATTTGGCAGACAGATGCCATGATGCTTGCTTGTGATTTATCCAGGCATTTGAGTGTTGTGTTAGACACAAGGGCTGTGTGAGACAGGGAATTGGAGAGCAAGTTGAGGGGAGGGGCTGTGTAGCAGAGACTGGGAGAGAGCGATACAAGGAGGTTAGGAGAGGAAACAAAACACGAGAAGCTGTTGAGAAAGCTACATCAGGACCAAAGTCTGGGATGCAAAGCTAAGTAAGAACTTCACTGACAGGGTTACTTACCAAATAGTGCTGCAGTGCACTGGGAGAAAGCTTAATGTGAAGACCCAGCTCTCTCTTTAGTGTGCTGAAAGATCACCAAACAAGGACACCTGCTTTTACCTGTGCACATCTTTGGAAGTGTCTGGACCAGGTACCCTGCTTTTACTATGTTCATTACTTTAGTTTTACTTTTTGATATAGGCATAAAAATTAATTGATGGAATGCAACTTATTTAGCAAGGATTCACTAGAAATCGAGTTAAACTATAGATTGTAGCTAGATTTGAATAAATTAACGTGCTTCATTTGTGCATACAAGGTATCTAATTGACGTGCTGGTATTAGAATAAATAAAAGCCACTAAAATACGCGTTTGTATTGATCTTTCCAATGACTCTCACAGGGTTAACTGTATAGATGAGATGCTTAGTAATACAACATTTAAAGTAAAGTGTTTAAACTCTGCATAGTTTTCATCAACCAATGTGGTAGTGGTTGGTAATGTTAGAGAGGGATGATGTTATAATGTGCATTTTAGAGGATTCGATTACCTTGAAATTAAAGTGTATCCATGTGGTTTGAATGTATTGTGTCACTCAGTCTCGTGTGTGTGTGTGTGTGTGTGCGCGTTATGTTTTGTGTGCAAACTGTATGTGTATATATGTGTGTGTTTGAAGATAAAATGCTTGTTTTACAATAGTTATCTATTATTGTAATTCTTATGGGTGCATTGATTTCACAAGAGCACCATCTCTTGTAACTGACTACTTTTGCGAACATTCTCATCAATCGGTTTTGTAAATGGCTGCATTAACTGGGGATTAGGTAGACATCAAGTTTCTGAACATTTATAATCCAGTCCATTGTCACTCAAACAGTTAATACAGTGCCATATAGTTCAGCAGTGACTTGTTGCTCATTCCACTTGTCCTTGAAGGGTTAAAATGCAAGACATAGTAGAAGCAGATATTCTCCATTTTAAAATATAATGCATAATCTACACATACTACTCTTTATCCACTTACACACACCATCCACTTGATGCCTTAGAAAAGGGAGGGTCAATATATTAAGATCAATCAACCTATATTTTAACCCTTCCTTCCTAACAGGTGCAGAGATACATTTTTTCCACATAATGATGAAGTGATTGATGTCAAAAGCACTCTTAACCTCTCGTGGTATTTTGAAAGACAGTATTCATTAACCATGAAGATGGTAACTGACAGATATAACAGAGGGATATTTACTGTGTTCTTTTTTTCCTCAAGAGGTTTTTTGTTTCCATAGGTACTGAGTAAGTAGCTTTGATTAGGTCAATTTAAAATTCTTGACAGTGTATGTAAAGCAATTTACCTAATGCATGTATTCAGTTACAATATATGCATATTATTCAATTCAAAATTTTACTCTTGTATAATTGCAGAGTGGGGATTAGGAACCTTTGCCTACCATGCAAAGATCAACACCAAGTGGACTGCACTCACCTGAACATGCATACATTATAAGGTGCTGCTGGGGCCAAAATATACAAAATACAGAATCCAGCGCACTCGCTTATTCACTAAACAATGATTTCAAATATTAGAGATTGTAATAGTTTTATTTAAAAACACCTCACCTAGGCAAAAAAATAATGGGGGTTTAGTTACATTGTATGATCATATATTGCATAATAGAGTAGGACCTGCCACAAATGTGGTACATTGACATTGTTGCAGGCTTATGCAATATATGATCATATAGTGTAACTAAACCCCTATTATTTTTTTTGCCTAAGTGAGGTTTTTTTAAATGAAACAATTACAATTTCTAAGATTTGAAATCATTATTTAGTGAATAAGTGAGTGCGCTGGATTGTGTATTTTGTGTGTATATATATATTATTATTATTATTTGTTATTTTTTTTTATTTTTAAGAGAAATTTTAAAGCTCCACTGGGTGTAAATAATGAAAACAATTATTTTATATTGTAACTGTAAAAGTTAAAACATGTAATCAACACATAATGCAAATGGGTTAACTGATAGTATGACTAATTGTTATCTTAAAAAAAATGCATTCTAATATTTACATTTTTAACATATCAATGTATGTTTCAAAAATATTAACAAAAGGGAAAATGTATCATCCTACTAGATTGCAATCAATAAACTATTGTTCTGTTGACGCATAGCTTAATAAAGTTGTATTTCCATAACTCATATTGGAGTGTATTTTATATCAGCTTCTGGCATAATTAAATATAAAATTAAAATAAAGGTTCTACCTGAAACAGAGCAGAATCAACAGAAGTTTTTAATCATTTTGTCACATGCTGACATCATTTCTCCAGTTCTGTGATCCTTGCAACTCCACTAACGATCTTTAGGGTTTAGCACTCTAGTATACATTTTGAAATAGCTAATGATACTCTGTAAGCCATCAACACTAAGTGACTTTATATGTCCCATTATAGAATTAATACAGAATCTAGTTTTAGTAAAGAAAACAATTAGAGTGCTGAAAATTATAAAAAAACTAAAATTACGTTTAAATCAAGAGAGAAAAAAAAAAGCACAGCCGGAAAATGTATAAGGTGACCACCTGATAGCATATAAATATATATTGAGTAACTGAAATTAATCAAGACTCCTTCCTCTGACTGGATTTATCTGTTTTTTTTCCTTGTTTTCTACATAGCTCACAGAATACAATACACTTCCAGAAAGAGAATCCAATCTTCATGGCAAGCTAGTGGCTTTAAAAATGATTTGTGGTCTGGACTTCAGCTAAATTTTAAGTACTCTCCTGTTAAATATAGGGGAGGTCAGTAGAGCAGCCACAGGGAGAAAATAATTAGTTTGAAGGAGGACTGAGATTTATTGAGATGGAAACAAATCCCAAAAGGTGTTGCTTTTCTTACTTATTTGATTAGGTAGAAAAAAAATGGTTCAAGGGGGATTGTTCACTAAATTGTGACAACCATATTTTAAAAATACATCAGCTGTGAACGTAATCATAAAGCAGCTTGAAACTGACCCATTCTGTCGGCATTTGATAATAAATGATATCCGAAAAGAGAATCAAGCTATGGCAGCCCTATTTATGTTGATTGGGAGTTAGGTAATGCTCATTTTTAAGAAGTAGGCAATCCATTCTAAGAGGGCTGATGTGAAACAAACTCCAAACTTGACAATGGTCCTTAGTATCCCTGTTAAACCAAGGTGCACCAATAAACACCCAAATTACTGTTTCCCCATATAGGGAATTAAAACTAAATTAAAAGGGAATTTCAAATTGAAGGTCACAATAGATGACTTGGAAGTCAACTACACTCAAAATTAACTTTGAATTCACGTTGAATTCCTGACAATTCTCACTTTTGTGACTATCCCTGTTGGATTTCTCATTTCTGAGGTCCATAAATATGTCATTCCTCCTCAACAGTGCATTGAGTGCTCATGCAGTGTCCTTTCTACCATAACATATAGTGCTTACATGTTCCAATATTCTTGGAATACAGTATTAAATTATTAATAAAACATCCCTATATTGTCATCAATGTCCATGTAATTTAAAGTATTACAAAAAAAATCTATTAAAAAACAAAAACCTTAAAACACATGGATGTAATGAACTCTTCATCCTTATAGGAACACTAGGGCATCAGAGATACACAGGGATCACAGTTTTAAAAAATAAATAACGGTTAAAAAGGTATTTTACCTACCTTTTATCCAAAGCCACGCTGCGCTACATGTTGCCCTGCCTCCTTGGCTGAGATCATCAATCTTGATAATCTCAGCCAATCCAATGCTTTTCCGTAGCAAAGCATTGGGAGGCTAATGAGAATGCGCAGCAATATGCTATGCTGTGCCAATCAAATGGTTTATATGAGGCCATCTGATTGAAAAAGACGAGATTAATTGGAGGCATTTAAAACATGCATTGTAAACATTGCTGTTTCTGTAGAATAGCAATATTTTACATTGCAAGGGTAAAACAAGGTGATGATGGCACCCGGACCATTTCATTGAGATGAAGTGCCTATAGTGTGTTTATAACAGAGAAGCACAAAGTGATTGAGGGGAACATGTGCTGATTATTATTATTATTATTATTTTATTATTTATATAGTGCCATCAGATTCCATAGAACTGTACAAAGGGTGGACTAACAGACATTTAATTGTAACCAGACAACTAAACGTACAGGAACGTTGCAGCTGTCTAAATAAAATACTTAATAATGAATAAGAAGTAGACTTTTTTTTATCAAATCACTTTATCCAAAAATAAATTTGTTTTGGGGATGTCTGAATTTCAGCCATATGGCAATTCAGCTCATCCAAATTCAGGAATATGATTCAGAAAAACCGAAAGGGCACACAAATGGGCCAATCAGTGTACTGCAAAATATATATATAAAATAAATAGTATGAGTCTAGTGTGCAGTATACTGATAGGAGCATTTTTC